TCACGCATCGTGAACCCGATTTTCTCCAGCCGATTTGTAACCTACGATCGATTATGAACATATTCACAACTCATGTTCACATGTCGGCCTTATGCTCGTGTGAACARCATCTGTGTCTTGCAATGTAAACACTATGTTCATATGTTCATATATGTTCACATGTCGGCCCTATATTCGTGTGAACAGCATCTGTGTCTTACAATGTAAACACTATGTTCATATGGTGTGATGTTTTTCAATGTCATACCGTATGACATCGTCACGGTTTCGTGTAAACAACGATTGTGTTTTTCAATGAAAACAAGTTGTCCATATGGTGAACATATATGAACATAGACTGCAAGAGATGCACATATATGAACATTTTCAAAATCAAGGATCGTTGTGCATGTGTGCAGATATGAACATAGACTGCAAGCGTTTATCGTCTTCATTATTCTGACATTCTTTTACAATAGGATTCTCCATGTATCTTGAACGAAATGAAAATCTTGTACACTTAGACAACCAATTTCAATATATGTATAAAATCAATTGAAATGAATGCCATGAACATGAAATAATAAAGAAATCATAAAAATCTCATGAACAATTAGATGTATCTTTTAAGATTTGTAACTCTCAATTAATTATTGGGGGTTACAAAAAGGTTGAATTACCAAATTACCCTTATCATTAATTTATAATTTATATTTGAACCTAAAGTGAAGAAAGAATGTGATTGGTCAAGATCGGTTTCCATAGTTTGTACCATATGGTTGGTTTCTATTTGAACCAACCTATATATATATATATATATATATATAATTAACCTAAACATCCAACCCGCTATGTGAGCCGACTAATACCAGGATGACCACCCGCTTCGCAGATAGCACGGAGTCACCACATTTGAACCTCAATGACCACAAGGGGATTTTTATATGTCGTTGCAATGTAACTAATGTCTACTAACGAGAACTCTTCACAAGTTCCACATTCATATAACTACCAAGTCAAATACAGAGGATGGATGTAAACGTTTCTCATGTACAAAAAGAGTTCAATTAAAAGCTTATATATGACCAGAGCTTTTGGTTCTACTAACCAGAACCTCTGGCTCAAATATAAAGACCAACCAGAGCCCCTTTGGTTTAACTGTGAAGACCAACCACAGCCCCTCTGGTTTGTCCTTCTTTGTTAAAGTCATTTTGTATAAGAAACTTTCTAAGTTAAAATAAGAGCAAGAAGTCTTATGAACACTTTTAAAACACAATCCTTGACACAAAGCCTTGATATAATAGATACAGAGCCTCTGGTCTAGGTAAAAGATTTGTAAGGACTTGTAACATATACAAATATCATCCAGAGCCCCTCTGTTTCTATGTGAGGAGCGACCAGAGCCTCTCTGGTTCCTCATAGATCACAAATTTTATCAAAGCATGGTTATCCAAAACCTTTGGCCATAAGCCAAGTTTTCCCCTTCTCAATAACATCATTACTACCATTTCTAATAAGAGCAACAATCATGAGTCCTCAAATCCCAAAAAAGTAAGAACTCAAAACTATTGCAATCTTAAGAGCCATGATAGCAAGAACTATAATAACACTTACACATACAAATGTCACCCTTATATCCAAAGGTACACCTCTCCTTGATATGTCACCCTTATATCTGAAGGTACACCTCTCCTTGATATGTCATCCTTATCCCATGGAACACCTCTCCTTGATATGTCACCCTTATTTACTCATCAAAATCTATTAGATTAATTCCAAACAATGACAGACCGAAGTCACAACCATCTCGTAGGAACATTCTATATAGTTTTAACCAATAATGGTTTCAAAACAGTTTTATTCCAAAACTTTGAAACTCAAGAACCAACAGTTCTTTAATATCATTTTCCAAACTCAAAACCCCTTTTATCCTTAAAATAGGATATCATCTTCAATTGTTTTTAAAAGAAGCAGAATCTCCTTTATATTTCAAAACAGTTCCAAAACCCAGATTTATAAAGCTCAAATCAACTTGTTAAAACAATCACCTTTCTTCATCAAAATCAACCATCAAAACTATATATTTCAAATAACATCATTTAAGGATTTTAATAACAAAAACTCACCTTAATATGCACATATTTGAAGATTTAATCACAGAGCAACTTCTTCAAATAATCACAGAATCTTCAAATCACTTTTTATGCAAGATTTCTTCTCAAGAACATCTTCACCGCCACACACACACACTTTTTTTTCACAGAGATTTTCCAAAAGATAAGATAAGACTGATCTTATCTTCTCTATATATATTTAACAAAGGCGGTGTGTTTTATTATTTTAAAACTCTTTAGGGAGGTGGAAGTTTTACTATATTTAAATCTCTTTTCTTAACCACGAATATGTACACCTACATATTTTAATAA